AACACAACTGAAACACAGAAAAAAAATTTGCAGTGTATGGAAAAGGTGCTGTGACTGATCAAACATGTCAAAAGTGGTTTGCAAAGCTTTGTGCTGAGATTTCTGTCTGAATGATGTTCCACAGTCTGGTAGACCAGCTGAAGTTGATAGAGATCAAATCAAGACATTTATGGAGAACAATCAATGTTCTACCACATGGGAGACAGCTGACATACTCAAAATATCCAAATCAATAATGTTATTGGTGGAAATGAAAAATGTGTCTTCTACTTTACGGAAAAAACTAAATGGAATTTTTGGCCAACCTGATATCTCTTTAAAGACATTGTTTCTAAATACAGTCACATTCTGAGGTTGTGGTATTTAGGGCTTCAACATAAAAATTGGGGGACACACACTTTGGACCCCATAATGCCCAATGTATGACCTCAGGACTGAGGAAGGAACCCTAACCCCAGGCAAGGTCCTGGCTCCTCTTAACACTGCTTCTTGTTGTCAGGAGGGCAGAGGCCAGTCCCAAGATACCTGTCGTCTGACTCGTGTGGCGAGGGCGGGAGCTCCAAAATGCAGGGCAAGACCTGGGGTCAGAGCACAGCCACCGTAAAGTGAACCAAACCCTCCTTAGGAGAATAAGCTCAGAGTCTGTGATGCTGGGAAGCTCTTGAGAGCAGCTTATCAGGTTGGGTCAGAAGCAGCTGCTGCTTCCCCATCCCCAACCCCCAGTGTCCTGGGTTAAAGTATGAATTCTGGGCAGGATTGAAGCTGTCCCTGGTTCTCTTTTCATGTCCCTCTCATTATGGATTGAGCCGTGACAGCAGTTTCTGCCTTGTGTATGGCTATCTTTGGGGCAGAAATGTTGACATGGGATCTCACGCCAGCTGAAACCCTCAGAGAAGCTACAGGACTCAGATTCTTGTTTCGAGGAGACCCACCACTCTGCTTTCCTCCACTGCTTGTCCATTGCCCTTGCTCCTGTTTCCAAAAGCTATGCAAAAATACGGACAAGTCAGCTGCGTGTCTTGGAAAAATCATTGGTCCGTGTGAGCAGATTTTTAAAAAATACACATTCCCATCATCTTAAAATGCAGGCTCCTTCCCACAGACTCAGTAGTCACCTCGTCTATATTTTAGATCTGTGAGCACGTGGCATTCCCTTGCCCACCTCTGAGCACAGGCTCTGGCCGGCTGGTCCAGGCAGCAGGCGACTGGCAGGCGGGCCAGGAGACAGGTGTGCGCCGGGCCCAGCGCGGGGCTGTCAGCCTGTCTGCTGGGCTCAGCTTCACGGAGATGCGGATTCTGCTCTAGGGCAGGGCAGCTGCGCAGTACACTCCGCCCCACATCCTGTCCTATGTCCCACGGTGGCCTGAGCACTCACCGCTCTGCAGTCTACTTCCTAAAAGCATAATTCACCCTGGGTTGCCAAAAATCAGCCCTGTTCCTTAAAATCGACATTGTTTGGTGGAAGCCATCACTGTTTACCAAAACTACAAACTTCATTCTTGAAATGCTAGCTTAAAGCTCTAAAATTATCTGCTAAATTTAGACACAGTTCTGATGAGCACCTAATACCTCCAGCACCCAGGCACCCATCTGTTACAGGGCTCGTCTCAGTTTAGAAGATACCCCAAGGGGAACATACAGATCAGTAACATACAGATCAGTGAAACAAGACTCAATGGCTCTGCTTGACGGAGCAGAGGAAATGTTTTCTTGGCTTTGAGGGAGTGGGGGCTGTTCAGCAGGGATGCTGCCTAAAATGGGGTGCAAGGCCCTCAAGGGGTCACAGCAGGCTGATCGGTCTGGACAGGCTCTAGGCAGCCCTCCCCCCACCCGACCCCTCCCTGCTCCCAGGCAGGACACCTGGGTCCCCTACCGGGGATACTCACCTCTCTCGGAGGCAATCGGGCCCACAGGCTTCCTTTAGCCCTCAGCTCCAACGTCCCTGACTTGGGGAAGGGTGGGAGGGAGGAGGTCGAAACACCGTAGACGAGAGCAGAGGGTTCTGTCCCTCAAGGACAGAGAGCTAAGGTCGGAGGGGAGCGTTGGAGATGGCACAGCTCCCTGCCGCCACAGTGTACTTAGAAATTCAGACTCCTGGGCCCCACCCCAGGTGCATCTGGACAGGGTGTCCAGAGGTTCATATGAACTTAAAGGTGTGAGCAGCACAAACCCAGGTCCCACTCTGGGTAAAGAGGCCACGCCCTTGGCGTACCAGGGAAAAACTTGAGTTCAAGGGGAATAAGACTGGCTCGCGGCTACTGAGCTGGGTTGGAACCCCAGCTGCCGTCTCTCTGTTAGACGGGATGTTGAGAGGGGAGGCACTGAAGGGCTGTCCGCTAGAAGAGGAACTGGACGTTGTTTGCCTCAAATCGAGTGACAGGGGGAGAGACCTCAGCCCTGTCAGGGAGATGTTCTGGCGGTCAGAGCCAACCACCGGCAGAGCAAGCCACTCCAGGGTGGGTTAGCACCATCACCAGAGCCTTGAGCCACATGTTGGGGTCATGGCAAGAGAGTGGCCATTTTACCCAATCATCCAATCATGTGGCAGGGGCAGGGAGGACATGACCCTTTCCTGCAATCACAGGACAGGGACAGGGAGGCAGTGATTATTTTCCCCATTTTGGAAATATTGACTGAAGGTAAGTTGGGGACCCTCCCCTAGATCCTTTGGAAAGAGAGGCCCTGCCAACACCTTGCCTCTAGAACTGTGAGAGGAAAAGCATTATTTTAAGCTTCTCAATTTGTATTACTTATTAGGAAACTAATACGGCAGTCAAGGGAACTCAAGTTTCTGACTTAGGTGACTCTGGATATAGGGTCAACAGACTTGGTGGCCTGGGTAGGGAGGGATAGGAACGGTGGTGGACACATGCTGGGGTTTGCTTCAGGTTTGAACACCCTGCCTTTGAAGGGCCTCTGTGTTGAGACAGGGAAGGGGGTTGTGGCAGCTGGATTCATGAGACTGGCTGGCTGGTTAGAGCTAAAGGGAACCGGGGAGAGGGGAGGGCGGTCACCCAGGGTGAGTTTGTGTGGAGAGCAGGGGAGGGCGTCAGGAATAGACCTGCAGGGAAGACCACCGCCAGAGGAAGGGTGGAGAGAGAGGGCCTCAGGAAGGTTTCTGAGGGGGAGCAGCAGGGACAGGAGGGAACCAGGAGCTCGTGGGGCCACGGACATGGGGAGTTGCAAGGGGTGGGGATGGGAAGGGATGTATAAAAAGGTAAAAACAAAAACAAAAACAAGGAAGGAAAGTGCCTGTTGAATGTGGAGACTGTCTTAGTTTGGGCTGCTGTAACAGAATACCACAACGAATGTTTATTTCTCACAGTTCCGGGGACTGCAAGTGGGAGGTCGGGGAGCCAGCACGGTCGGGCCCCGGCAGAGGCCCTCTTCCTGGTTTAGAGAAAGTAATTGTGTGTGTGCACCCTAACGTGGAGAAGGAACCACCTCTCCTGTGTTTCTTCTTATAAGGGCACTCATCTCAGTCATGGGGACTCCACCCTCATGACCTAAACACCTCCTAAAGGCCCCGCCCCCTAATACCATCCCATAGGATTTCAACATATTAATTTGGGGGGCAGAAACATTCAAACCATACTGGAAATAAAAGGTTCATTCCACCATGACCTTGGCAAGAACAGTTATGGTGGAGGGGGACACGTGGAGCCCCACTACTGCCTGACTCCAGTTTTTGGGGTCTCCTCATAACAGGGAACCCTGGCACTTCCACAGCTTATAGACTCTCAGAACTGAACTTGTCAGGGTTCGGTGTGTTTAACAGTCACCAGCTGGGAGGAGAGAGGCCACCTCCACTCTGCCTAGATCCTGAAAACAAAGACTGACCATCTGTGTCAGCTCCTTGGGGACAAGGCCCCCAGTTGTCTGCCTTTCATAAGTCATCACCTGTCCCTATTCAGAGAAATGGACAACTTTATACATTTACTGAAATCTCACGAGCCCAGGGAGTGAGGGGCAGGGATGAGATCACCAGAATTACTAGCTCCCCTTATTGAGGGGGTCGGACTCCCTGCAAGACACTCTAACTACATTCCAAGGACCAGACTCACATAGTAAAACACATTACTCATGGAAGGCCCCCTGTGCCCAGCCAGAGGAAACAGTGCCATCTATGGGCCACTGAAGGAGAGAGCATGGGCGTCACTGTGGTAACAGCAGTGGCAGGACATTCAGGAATGGGTTCCACACTCTTCTTGGTGATTAATGAGAAGTGAACTTGAACTTGACCTTTGTTTAAGGACCAGATGTTTGAAAGTAACACAAGAGATGGATGGGCCAATGTGTGAGCCTGGTTGTGAACTAGGGAGGGGGGAAGAGCAAGCTCGCAGATGCCTGTGTCCTGCAGAAGCCGTGCTAAAGGCTTCCTTTCCAGGATAGGACACAAAGAATGCAGGGGGTGGATCACAGGTTGGGGGCAAGTTTAGGGCTGCATGCAATTAAATGTAGCTTGAGAACTCAAGTCTTTGTATTTATGTATTAATCTAGTAAGTACATAAATTTTATTTATTAATACCAAACACTGGCTTACCAGGTGCCATTCTCCTGAACATTTCAAAACACTCATTAATCCTGGCAATCCTGTGAGGTAGAGACTATCTTAACCCCCACTTTGTATGTAAGGGAACTGAGGCACAGAGAGGTTAGGTAACCTGCCCAAGGCCACACAGCACGAGGAAACCACAACTACAGTTCTGCAGTCTGGTTCCAGAGCCCAGGTCTGAGCCACTGCACTGTCCTGCTTCTCTGACATCTGGTACCCCTGTCCCCGCATCCTTCTAAAGTGCATTACATGTTCTCTGCTTTTTAAAACGGAGCATGAGGAACGTAAAACAAGCATTTATTGATTTTGATGCAAGTGGTCATCGCCCCCGACAGCACTATCACAGCGCTAGGTTCAGGGCTGCGGAGAGGCGGCCCTCTGGGGCCAGGCAGGGCTCGAGTTTGCTTTTATACACTTTTCCCCACAGGGGGTGGAAAGTTCTGGAAACATTTTAAGCAGGGAAGAGACATGGTCCGATTAAGGTTTTAGAGACTGTTTTCGGTCTCCTCCAAGGGTAATGGACGTGGAGACCTGACAATGCCCATGAAGCCAGAGCCCCCACAGCTGTGGGCTCCTGGCCTGGCTCCTGGGGACTGGGTCAGGGGGATTTGGAAGTGGGGAGGAGAGCGGCTTGGCAGACCCAGAGAGGCTGGGGTCAGATACCCTGTTCTCTGCCCCCAGTGCCTCCCGAGGTGACTATGCCCTGCCATGGTGCTCCAGAGGACAGTACACATGTCCTGCCTGGCCACTGGCCTTTGCTCCACTTTGCTTCACCGGAAGAAGGGATGAGTACTGGTGAGTGGAAATGGGTATCTCTGGTGACATCCTATCCGATGGAGACAGCACATTCCACCTGCATTGCTCTGGTGCTACGGACTGCAGATGTGGGCGGGGCTGTGCCTGCCTGAGGGGACACATCCACTAGTCAGGGCTGTGTACCTGCTTCCTTGTTCAGATTTTGTATGAGGATTCTGTAGTAGTTTAACTCTATTTTAGCTTTGCCTCCAGTAACAGAATAGACACTGGACCACCTGGCATGTATATTTCTCCTTTTAAAGTAATAAACAGATGTACTAATTTTAATTTTTTTTAAAAATAGTATTCATAAAATAACGAATGCTTGGTTCATTTAATAACTATGTCCTTACATTTGAAATTAAATTGGTCTCAAAAAATCCTCTAACAGTCAGCATACTCCCTGCAAGGAGCTAAATACATTTTCAGATCAAGACGTTTTCGATGCTTCAATTTCATTCCATATTTCAGCTTCAATTTTTGAAGTGTCATATTCCCTCATCATATCAAATTCAAGCCATGGCTTATTCCACTTCTGAGCTTCTTTCATTTGCTCTTCGGTTAAACAAAGATCAAACCTGATTCCTTTAATATTAAACTTCGGTCGCTCCCAGCGTTTGGACCAGGGCTTAGGCTTCATTTTCACTTTCAGCTGAGGAAGAGATTTAAAAAAGGGGGAGGGGGAGATAAATTAGGTGGATAGTCATAAGCAAAATTCTTCTAGAAGTTTTCATTAAGATGACTCTTATTTTATACTTGAATATCCAGTTCCAAATGTACAACTTATACCTGATTAACAGGAACTTCGCTAGATTCTTGTACTACTGGCTTCATATTAATATCAAAAGTGCTGTATTCAGGAAGGGCATCTCTTAAGTAGAGCAAGCTGTCATCTAGCCGTTTCTCCAATTTGATCACTTGGATCTCCTGGATTCTAGGATTATAAAGTTCAAAACAAATCTCAACACCTAAGAAGAGAAAAAAACATACTCTTAAAATCAAAGTCCAGATTCTGGCATAAGGCTCCCACTACAGTAAAAGCTATTTTGTAAAGGAACTAGCACAAGGTTTTGCAGGTAGGAAATACACATAAATTTGAATCTTTAAAATGAAGATGATTAAAAAAAGTAGGAATAATCTAAACATATAGACTAAAAAGTAAGACATACGAATTAGAATGTCATCTTCTATAAATATATTGAGTGAATATCTCTTCAATTCTGGTAGTATTCACTTGGAAAAAATTTAAGTAAATTCTTCACTATCACATGGTTTATTTCCAAATTACTTAAAGCTCTCTCTTTTACATTAAGAGCAAGAGGATTAATGATGCAAAAAAAAGTAATTATAGTTTTAAATTCTAACTTTGGTTTAGAAGCCCTCTTAAGGATAACCTTGGTTTGTTTTTGTTTTTTTGTTTTTTTGAATGAACATTCTGGAGGCTTCCATAGGAAGCAAACTAAGAACAGCTTTGAGTGTTTCCAAGAAGTTACAAGTAATAGTTTAATATATACTACCTGTATCATCAAATGCTTACAGAGAATAGTATATTCTAAGGTTTCCTGGAATAATCCCAAGAGAAATAGAAATAGTAAAATATGTGATCTATGTTAACATCCAGTGTTTAATACCGGGATTTAATCCAGTATTTTCTGTACAACTACTCTGGTTCAGGCACTGATTTAGGAGCTGTGCCTATAACAAAACCCAAACAGGTAAGATCCTTCTCCTCTCATAAACCTCACATTCTAGTGGATGACAAACAAACCCACAGTACAGGGTGACGACATTGTGGATGGGGAGGGAGCAACTTTAAATAGTGGTGAGAGAAAGCCTCTTTGAAAAGATGACATTTAAACTGATACTATAAAGGACCACGAATGCTTCAGGCAATATGAATGGGAAATGCTAAGGCACTGAGGTCTTAACAAACTTGCCATGTATGAAAAACCAGAAAAAAGCCCATCTGTCTTGGTAAGCCAGGAGAGTACCTGTATCCTGCCATGTATAATACACACCCACGTTTTTGTGTGCATCATACAAGGGATTATTATACCCATAGACAAGGCACATCCTTAGTTTTCTCTCAAAAATTTGGGCAAAAAAGTGAGCCTTATTCATGGCAAAATACGGGAAACCAGCGAATCTGCACAGCTCCAAGTAGGAGAAGGTAGTAGCAATGATGAGAGCGGCAGCAATGGAGATGGAGAAACAAGGTTGGGATATGCTTTTTGAAGATTGAACTATAAAAACCTGCTGACTGGCTGAATGTGTCAAAGGCAATTAAAAACAGCTCCTAAATTTTTTTGTTTAGTTAAATGGGTGAGGAGTGGTACCATTAATGGAAATAGAAAAAACAAACAAACAAACAATGAAAGAACACATTGTGAGAGGAAATAAAGAATTCTGCTTTGAACTTTTTTAATGCTTATATCCAAATGGAGATGCCAAATCTGTAGCTGTATGTGCAAATATGGACTTTGCAAAGGGTCAGTGCTCAAGATATATATTTGGGAATTATCATATGGGTGGTATTTAAAGCCACTGGACTAGAAAGAACCACCAAAAAAGGGAGTATCGATGGGGTAGGGACAGGCAGATTACAGTCAAAATACAGTGTAAAGAATGACAAGGAGCTAATACTTTTGGGTATTGTGCCCAGCCCTTGGGAGGTAGAAACTATTATCTCAGTTTGAAAGAAGAAAATCAAAGCCAAGACTGTCTGACTCACAGCTGTGCACAAGCTTCTGTAAGCAATTCCTGCTGAGCTCTTACATGCACAGCACCCACACGTCACTGCAGGGTAAGAAAGGCGGCAACTGCTCTCATACGCTCAATTCTTCTGAATATAATACTTTGCTGCTGGAGATCATGAAGCATACAACGTAAAGTATAGAAACTTGACTGTTCCTGCCATTTTGACTAATAATCTTTTTGAAATTTTACCACTTGTTCCTCTGCCTTATTAGGCATAACTTACATAATTTTGCTTTTTAAAAAAATGTCTCCGGTTCTTATAAAATTGATCCTGTGGTGACTATTGTAATATAAAGCAAACCAGGGGCCATTCATTTTAGGAGAAAGTAACTCAGAAGGCCATTATTATGTTCATAATGTTCTCAAGGGCTATTTGCTCCTAAAGTGAATGTCGCCACACGGCTTTAGTCACTTGTCTCCTCCTGTGATGCCGCCATAGTTTGGAAAGCCCACTTCTCACAGTCGTTGTCCTGGCAATAATAGAAGCCTTCCAGAGAAAGAAAGCACTGACTCTATTTTATCAGCCGGCTCAATTTTCATACCCTCTTAGGCCACAGCATCCACGCATCCCCTGGAGCCCCTCTGCACTTTCAAGTTACAGATGTCTTGTCCCAGGATGCAGAAAGCAAAAGAATCCTGAGATAGTACTTTCTAGAAAATCAAAATAATGAAATGCCCATACCTTGCCCTTCAATAGTATTCCTAAGGGTAAAAGTAGCTCCAAGTCCTGCTCCTGATCTCTGGATGCAAATCCCCAGAAACTGGCTGGTTTTTCCATTGGCATATGGATCGGCCGTAGTAACACGAAGAATGCTTCCTACAAATTCAGATGCAGGAACAAACAACAGCATTTCTAGGTAACTGCATAACTTCCTAAAGATTTTAGTATAATATTAGAAATAAGAACTTCATTATAGGCAAAACCCAGGTATATGAAAAACAATCTTCTCTATGCCAAGAAAATTAACCCTCTAACCCCTAATAAAAAAAAGAATCCAACTCTTACTGACCAACATAGAACTCTGGAATGTGGAGTACTTTTCTCCTTTCTAACATATCTTTCCTTTCTAATTGAAATAGCAGAGGATTTGTTCTCCCTCTTGGAGGAATGAATTCAGGACTCAAGAATCTGCAGGAAAAAAAATATTAAAAGAAAACTTTAAAGACCATTAAAAAAGAATCTGTTGCTTTCTTAAAAAGATGATGATTTTGAAGTGTTTTATTCTTCCTTCTCTAAATAAGATAAATTGATCTTATTTCTAAAATTGTTGTCAGTGCTTATGAAAATATCCAATTATCCTGAGTACTTACCTGGCATTGTGTTAAAATCTTTATTAAACATCTATAGCATAAATTAATCCTTACAACAACCAGGTGGTTTGGTGTCATTTTCTCCTTTTCACAGATGAAAATTAAGCTTGGAGGAGATAAATAGCTACCTTGTTATTATATTAGCTATAAACTTATCAAGTCAAGACTTAAATGTCTGTCAGACTCCAAAGCCTGTGACCATAACCATGGACCACATGTTGAGTTGTACATGTTATTAATAAATTATGTTGGAAAAGATATAAACACATAATCAATTGTAAACTGACTTTAAAATATTATCTCCCTAGTCTCTTTGACTGATTTTAAACTAATTATAAAATGTTTAATCTACAGAAAAGTATAAATGACATTACAATGTAAATTCATGTCCCTATCACCCATTTCAAGAGATAAATTATCAATATGATTGAAGACCCTATCTACCCCTATAATCACTAGGCTGTAATTAAATGTGGTAATGATTGTTCCTATGAATTTCTCCCTTTTTCTCAATTCCCTACTTAAAACATTTTCAAACCTACCAAAAATTGAAATAGTTATACAATGAACACCCAAATATACTTCACCTAGTTTCACCTACTGCCAACATTTTGCTGTTTTTTAAACACACACACACACACACACACACACACACACACCCCCCCATAATTTTTTTTCCTGAACTATTGGAAAATGACAAGCAGCAAGGCATTTCATCCTTCAATACTTTAGAAGGTGTCTGCTAAGAATAAGGACAGTCTCTTATATTTATTACAATTCCTTTATGACACCTAAGAACTCCAGCATTAATTCAAAAATATAACCTAATATATAGTTTATATTTAAATATACCTAATTGTCCTGGAAAAGGTCTCACAGCTGTTTGTTGCTCAACTCAAGCTACAATCAAGCTTCACACATTGTGTCTGGTTGTTAGTCTCTTTAGTCTCTTAAGCTAGAACTATTACCCATCTTTGTATTTTTATAACACTGACTCTTTTGAAGAGTCAAAGCCTGTTGACAGTCCCTGGAATCTGGATTTGTTTATTGTTTCCACATGCCTAGGCCCAAGGTTAAATATTTTTGGTAAAAATATTACAGAAGTGATGGTGTGATCTTATTTTGCCACATCAAGAGGTACATAATGTCAGCTTGTAGAGTTATTGGGAAAGGGAAAGCTAGGTGTGATTGCTCTGTGAAAGAATTTCCCCTGTACATTTTTTTTATATCTTACATATGCATAAATGTCTAGGCAATATAAAAATGCCATCATACTATATCAATTCTTCTGCAGGTTGCTTTTTTTCACATGTATTTGTGAAGTTCATCCATGTTAGCTCTGGTTCATTCATTTTTCACCGCTGTATAATAGTCTACATGCTGATGGATATCTAGGCTACGTCTTAATTTTTGTTTATTACAAACAATACTTTTGTGTGCATTCTTACACATATTTTCTCAAACTTATTACCTCAAGTTTCATTCTCTTTTGGGTGGAAAAGTATACACAGCCTCAAACTTACTAAATTGTGTTAAATTTTTTTTTCCAAAGTTGTTATACATTTTACATTCCATTTAACTGAATTACATTGTGTTGTGATTTAAGGAAGATAATTCCTTTTCCACCTTTACAAAAAAAAAAAAAAAAGCTGTATATTAAAGGCTTTTCTTAGTTTCTAGGTTCCAAAAGTTCAACTTTATTTCAACTCAGAATCACAGAACATTTGAAATGTTAAACGTACAGACACAGAGATGTACATACAAACAGGCAAAAGATAATCCAATCGACAACCTAGAGCCCCTTCAAGAAGCCTATAACTCACATCAAGCACTTACTCCCCGTCCCCGCCCACCAAATGGCTTTTTACTTAGGTCTGCAGAAATCCCAAGACCTTCAAATCTGGGAGATCCCTATTTGACGTTCTAATTTAATAAGACTGCAGAGAAAGTTCAGTTCAGCTTGGAAGAAGCGAGGGAGGCAAGATTGAGGTGGGTGTGCTTCACACACGCGAGCTCAACAATTCGACCCACGAGTTCGTGCAGTGGGAGTTTCAGCCCTCGCTTTAGAGCCCAGACCCTAAAGCGAACACAGGTTCCTGAGCGCAGACCCAAAGAGAGGGCCTCACCTGGTTTTCTCGCGCGTGGGACGGCGCTTGTCCACGATGACGGGTTTTGGAGGCGGCTGGAAAGCGCCGGATTGGGAAGGTCCAGTGCTCTGATGACGGCCCGGCCCCGCGCTGGTCCCTGCGGCAACAGACAGCGGACATCAAAGTTGCTCGAGCCTGCCCTGACCTCTCAGAGAACCCTGCAATTTCCCCCAGCTCGAGGTGCTACGAGGGGCCATCGCGAAGGTCACCCCTGACTTCCACGCTCGCCTACTGCCAGCCTAGCCCTGCGCCCCTTCTGCTCCTGGCTTTCAAGCCTCGCTCCACTTACGGCAGGCGACAGAGGCCGGCACAGGGAGCAGCGCCCTGGCAGCCGCAAGGCTCCGGGTCAGGCCTGTTGCTGTTCCACAGCCCCGTCCAATGGAGGCCGCCATGCCTGCTCGCACAAGTAGAGACTACAACTCCCAGTAATCAGTGCTTCCAGATCGCGGCCTTCTAGGGCCCTATGGCAGCTGCTATGGAACAAAATAGTCAAGTCTTCCGCCCCCCCCCCCCCCCGCCCCCGCCTCCGCTGCCCCCCGCTGCCCCCCGCGACCCCTCCCCGCGCTTTCTTCATCTGGCCTGGACTTTTTAGGAGAAGTGAATACTTCTCTAGTTCCCTATAATGTACGAACTTTTGCGCCTATACAGGGATGTCTCGCAGCCTAGAAAGCTTTTGCCCTCTTTAGGTTAACTCAATCTTCACTTTCTCAGGCAAGTCTTCACTACGTCAAAACCCCATTATGGGCTCACATCCTAACTAGGTGCCTTCTGTTAGCAGCTCTTACATCATTTGCAATTTTAATGTTTAATGTGATTTTTAGTCATCTCTGGAATTGTTGGATTCGTGTCTAGCTACGCCATTATACTGTAAGCTCCGCAAGGGCATGGAGGAGTTTGTCTTTTGTTTACCATTTTATCCCGCTCACCCTTTGTGGAATGCAAGGAGGATAAAATAGATCCTGACAGGACAGGTGGCGCAAAAGCCCTGAGACAACAGAGAGCATTTTCCCTTTGAGGAACTATAACTGAATTTGGGCTGGGAACCTGGGTGGAGATAAGTGGCAGAGATGAAACCGAAAAAGGTAAATTAATTTTAAGTCTTGTTAAGAAATTTGGAACTGTACCTTTGGCAATGGTGAGCCCCTGAAAGGATTTCACACTCAGAGTGACATGTTTATTTATTACTTATTGGTCATTCCAGTTCAATTGTTTTCCCAAAGCATCTGAAACTGAACATGTCCAAACTGAATGCATCATGTTCACCTCCAACCTTCTCTGCAGTGTTGACTACCTCAAGGAATGGCTTCAGCATCCAATCTGTTTTTTAAAACTAAAAATCTCAGTGCCATCCTTGATTCCTCCCTGTCTCTCTTTAGGTAAAGTTCCTAAAACTACATCTGGTACCATCAAATATCTCAAGAATCCTTATACTTTCGTATCCTCCCGTACACAACTTTAATCTGAGTCACCATCATTTCTCCTCAGGATCACTGCAAACCACAGCAACTGCTTCCTGACTTGGTCTTCTGGCCTCCAGTTCCCTCCAGTTCCCGCCAGTCCTTCACAAAGAAAGCTAAAAGGACAATATAGAATGCATACCTAGTCCTTGTCTTGTCCCAGTTTAAAGTTTTCCATAATTTTATGTTGACCTAGGGATAAAGATCAAGTGTTCAAAAAGCAACCAACCTCTGCAGCACCCCCGACACTCTACTTTGCCATCCTGAAGGTATATGAACTCTTACATCAGTCTTAGAAAGAAAGCCATGTTTTGAGGACAGAAATCAAGGTATTGTGAGAATATGTATATATACATATATGTATAGATATATAATACATATACATATATGTATAGATATGTAATACATATGTGTATAGATATGTATACACACATATATAATCAGTAGCAAGTATTTTAAAATGTATTATATATAATTTTATTACACAAAACAGATCTTTATAATCTTTCCTAGATTGTTCCTCCTCCTGATTCTCAATTTTAGGAAAAAGAAAGTCAAACTCCCTCACCACCCTCCCAATGGAATATGCAATTATTCCTGTCTCCCATTTTCATAGCATTTAGAAAAACATAGACATTCTTTCAGTGGGTCATTTCTTTTTCATTTGTGTCCTCCATGAAACTGAGATGTATGGAATCAGGGATCAGGCCTGTCGTATTAATTTGCATTTAACCTGAGAAGATGAGGATAGGGAGGTAGACTAGGTCTAGGGCATGAAGGGATTTGGGAGTACATAACAATGATTTCTTCTTTAGAAGACATTGAGGAGCATTCGGAGATTTAAAAAAAAAAAAAGAACGACATGTTTATTATGTTTAGGATTACACTAGAAAGGTCCTTGTCAATGCAGAGCGGAGAATGGACTGGAGCTGCAGGTTAGGGGGAAAGGCAGTGACCCCAGCAAGACATGGCAGTGCCTTGGATTCAGGTGGCACCTGGGAGCAAATGAGAAGTGACAGTGGGTATTTAGGACAAAGAATGAACAAGCTTTGCTGATTGACAGGGGATCGGGGAAGCTTCTGATTTCTTCCTGGGATATTTGGTGGATGGTGGCATTGTCTGCTGACATAGAGAACATAGGAGGAGGAGCGGATTTGTCACAACAGGCTGAGGGGGCTTTGAAACTATTGAGCTTGAGGTGCATATGTCATATATAAGCAGAAAAATCCGCTAGAAAGCCAGGGGGAGGCGGAACTTCAGAGAGAGGCCTAGATGAGGGCAATAGTGACTGAAACCATCGGAATAAGGAGGCTGCTCTGGAGGGACTGAGATGTGAGATAGGAAGGGGGCCTAGGGAAGAGCCCTGGAGAAAAGTAATTTCTAAGGGACATGCAGATAAAAATGAACCATGAAGGACCCAGAGAAGGAGCAGCCAGAGAGAGAAGAAAGAAACCTGTACGTACGTGTTGGTGAGCTGATGAAAAAGAAGAGGCAGAGCAGGAATGGTCAGTAAGTGCCATAGGTCCTGAAATATTTGATATATTGGTCGAGAGTTGAATGATCACCTTAATGAACACTGTTTAGTAGGAAGCCCCTTTGCTGGTATATATATATACATACTTTTTAGAGTGTATGGGAGTTGAGGAATTGAAATCACTGAGTACAGATATTACAGAGAAACTTGCTGAGATGCAGCTAATGAGCCTTAGCGCTTCCTTCTCCCACCCCTATTTGTAGGCAAACCTCCTCTGTGTTTCTAAAGATGGGAGTTTGCCTCCCCTCCTTCCACCCCCAGTAAAGTCCAGAGGTTGTGGGTTTCAGGACCCTGAGGAGATTACAGTTCTCCCTGGGGAGGATAAGATAAAGACCAAAATTTAGAGGTGAGGTGGAAGCCCCTGGACCTACAGAGATTGGCAGAATCAGCTGCTACTGAAGAATGGAGTTGCAAGTTGGAGTCATGCACATTGTGTGGGCAAAGTCCGGTGCCCACGGGCCTCCAGCAGGGTGGATGGGGAAGCCCCTGCAGGGTGCCAACAGGGAAAGGGGTGGCTGCAGGAGTCAGCCCCCGCTGTCCAGAGGGGTTATTTTTACTAGAAAAGTTAACTTTGAAGTTTGCTAGAAGTTAACTTTGTTGAGAGTTGAGGAATACTAGCTGGAGAAATGTGTTTTCTTATCCGAAAGGAAATAGTCAAAAAACCTTGATGACTTAGGCTCCCATTTTCTGTCTTTTAAGGTATTTGGTTATAGAAAGGTATCGGTGCATTCTAATCAATGTGACTGAGAGACTCATGGATGGAAAGTAGTAATTTGCTAGAGACGGATCTTTTCTGATTTTATAATAATGCTGATTGGTTTGCTATCACAAAAGTAACTCATACTTGAAGGAACTGGGATTTGATTATATTGTACTTACAAGTGAATAAATTAGCTTATTGTTTGAGACTCCTGGGTTAGAGACAAAGGATTTTATTACTCACGACAGGGAAGCAGCATGAACATCAGCAGGTTTGCAAAGGTTCCCTTTGCCCCCAAGCAGAACACCCACATTCGATTCTGAGCTCAGGACACTCCCTGCTCCTCAAGCAGCAGCATATTTCAGGGCTCTTTACATTGCTCCACCATGTGTTTATTAGTTATAATTTATTCATTTTATTAAGTATGTACTGAGTTGTTAGTAGGCTGGGAACTCTGTTAGGCCATGACAGCTCACACTTCCCTCACTCAGGAAGCAAAATCTGAGGAAACCTTGGGCAAGTATTTTTAAACCAAGTGTTCACTATGATGGAAGTCAGTGATATTATGTGATTCTTTAAATAGGTAAATAAGATACTATATTACCATACAAAATTAAACCTGTAGGAAAAAATAATTGCTCAATCTTTGAATTTTTGGGAGGAAACTACAATATTTATAGGCTTTGATATTATTAACAAAGATGCACTTGTGATTTTAAAAATGTAACAAAATGAATTAAACAGAAAATATGCAAGAAAACATCAACAAATCTCTTGGTAGTCTTTTAAAAAGGAAGAAAATCTCCAGATTGAACTGCTAAGTACATAAACTAAGCTGAGATCCGAGCGGGACATGACTTAGGTTGTGTTCTCTCCCTCTCACTTTGCTCAGGGAAAAAGAGAACCACCATTCAGGCGAGGAACAGGCCAGTCCAGCTGGGAGCCCTCGGCATTACAGCGCACTCTCTCGGTACCCGGGGAGCTGCAGGTCTAAAAGTAGCTCTCCAGTGACACACATTAGAAATAACCCCTCACAGGGTAGTCATGTCACTTTTCCTTACCTGTGCAACACACACTCCTGGCAAACACTTGAAACAAGTTGTATTTTGTTTATTATTTACTTTTATTTCTTGGACTCTGGATTAGTATTTTTTTAAGAAAATCTTAGTCTCCTAGTTCCAAATTAACAAAATCCCACTTTAATAACTAATTATTGGGTTGGCCGAAAAGTTTGTTTTTTTTCTGTAAGATGGCTCTAGTAGTAGCTCTTAGTTGTCTGTAACTGCATTTGAAACAGTTTTGTTAGATTGCAATGTGACAGCTGTTGTATCAGCGTGCGTGTAAAACAAACTTATCAAAATTGGTGATTTTTTGGTAGTCATTTTTATATTGAAGTTGGAAGAAAATAAGCAAAATTTTCAGCATATTATGCTTTATTATTTCAAGAAAGGTAAAAACACAAATGAAATGCAAAAAAAGATTTGTGCAGTCTATGGAGAAGATGCTATGAGTGATTGAACTTTCAAAGTGGTTTGTGAAGTTTCATGCTGGAGATTTCTCACAAGATGATTCTCCGTGTTCAGGTAGACCAGTTCAATTTGATAGCAATCAAATCAAGACATTAATTGAGAACAATCAATGTCTGCCATGCAGGAGATAGCTGACATGTTCAAAATATCCAAATCAATAAAGTTATTGGTGAAAATTGAAAAATGTCTTT